ACAACACATGATCATATGGTCCAAAAGTTTATTGAAGACAAGTTCTGTGAAATAAAAACGGAGAAATGTGTTTTCGTAAAAGAATTGTGCATTAGTTAGGTTATGGTAGGTTAGTTCAAGTTAAAGTACATAAGAGAAGTACACGATTTTCTATCATGATGAACTTTAAAACTAAAAATGGTCTACTTGCTATTGGACTCCATGCTCAAGCAAAGAAGTGAGAAGTTTAGCGATGAGCATAGAGTCCAAGATCTTGGACGAGATGAGCAGGCAAGTATATGTATTAAGGGTGAGCATGGAGTCCAATATCATGGACGCGATGCTACATAATCAATTTTTCAGAGAAAATGCATTTAAGACTAGTTTTCCTTGAAGTCTTTTTTTTGTGTGTGTGTGTATCGCACTAGGTTGTTTTAAAATCTCCTAGGAAACACCCAGATCCGTAGTAACGTTTTGCCTAACAACAAAACTGCGCAAAAGAAGAAAAAATTAAGAAGACTAGACTCGGAGTGAAACTAGAAAAATTATTATTGAATGACACATTTCCTGTGTTGTTTTGTTGATCTGCCAAGAAACGAATGGGTACTAAGTAGTGCCGATTTGGCTCTATTTATTCAGAGTATATGAGAATGAGTAAAAGGAGGAGCCGACAGGCTAAAACTAATCCACCTCTTAATTTAAATTTTGGTGCGACTCGCCGGAACCGCTAGGAAGCACTATTTTGGCAGGTTGTCTCGGATTTAGATCTTTTTTCTTCAAGTCCAGGACTTGCTTCATAGATGTGTGTATACCATTCCATTTATCCTTTGTCTCGAGCATTGTCATTGATATCTCAATCTTTTCAAAAACTCTACTTACCCACTCCAACCCGTTTCGAAATGGAGACGTCCAAATGGAGGATTATATAACAGGTTTTTTCGGTACATACGCCCCCCCCCCCCCCCCCCCCCCCCCGCCACGGATCGACAGAAAATTGACACAAACGGCACCATTTCAGCATAAAAACAATAAGAAGATTATAATTTTTCAGCGCAAGTTCAATCTGTCACTTACCTTGATAGGCATGAAGCGATGACACACGCTGTTCAAAGAGAAATTAGATAACCTAAAAAATTGGAGGGTCAAACCTGAATAGCGGACTTCTTCAACGGCCATTTTTGCCGTGCTATAAAACTTTTGAGATACTTAAACTTTCCGTAACTTTCAGAAATTACGGTGTACCCAACTGAACCGAACCATTTTATTTACCCCTTTTGGCATACTGTGCCAAAACGGTCTAAAATATATGGTGTGCCGAATTGTCTCGCGTTATTCTTGTGCCGAGATTGGACGCACTCCCCTGCTTTAAGCTGAAATTAACTCTCAAGCTCTAAAAAACTCTCAAAGTTGAGGCCGTATGGTGGATCCTCGGACAGTGGATCGAGTCACTTAGAGATGTTGGATATGAATTCGTGGCTGAAGCTGCAAATTTTGATGTTTCTTTCGTCACATTTTGAGTTTCAAGGGGTGCTTCTTGAAGAGAATTCCACGAGGAGACCCATGGAAACACTTTTAGATTCTCAAAGTTTTGTATGGACGGCGTTATAATCGTTTACAATTTCCAAATTTTGTCCGACCTCTCCTACTGACTCGATCGACAATTCGTTGTCGTATTGAGAGAGTCCACCTCTACATCCAGTCAAAACTCGAAACTCGAGTGCTGGTAAGTGTAACGTCGAACAAAAAAAAGGAATCTGGTGGTAATACAGGGAAAAGTATTTGTCCTGATCGTTTCAAAGGCATTGAAATAAATGAATAAGTACAGTTTCCATTTATTTTGCAAATTCTATGGATCTGTAGCACGTAAGAAATACAGCCAACTGAATACACTTTCTACAAGTAAATTCGCTCAAAAATCACGTCGCACATAAAGAAAAATCTGAAACCCACTCCTTAACGCACAATTTACGTAGTTCGTAACACCATTTTTCAAATTTATCGCGGGCAATTTATCTTGGCGACTACCAGTCAGGTTTGCCCAAAGAGAGACCTAACCTGAATGAATAAACAATCTTGCGAACTTTTATAAATTCTCCTTGCGTAAGATTCCAATTCATTCAAAGTATTTTTTTTTTATTTTTTGTAAAATAAAGACAGAGGAGGGAAGCAAAGGCTTGCAAACGAGGGAAATTGTACCAAAGAAAAAGTTAGTTAATCGTTTGCTTTCATCGGGTAGTTCTTTCGTACCTATCTGCCTGGGCAAACCTGGTCAGCGCGGTGGTGACTGAGAAAAACTACCCCCCGACGTGGGAAACTTGAAAAAGCGTCTCATTAACCACGCAGATTGCGCGCTAAGGAGCGGATTTCAGACTCTTTCTTTGTGCTCAACGGGATTCTCGAGCAAAACTCTTTTAAGGTGTAAGTTGTTGGTTGTATCTCTTGAGTGCATCTCTTTAGACTCATTTTAATCGGTTGTGTGGCGTGCTTTGCAATATATCGATTGTTCTGCCATTTAAACTTATGGTAATAATCGATTGATAAGGTGTTTGCTGCGAACACCCTGATTATCGATCCTTTTTCCATAGGTTTAAATGACATGACAATCGATATATCCCAAAGCACGCCACACCACTGATTTTAATATGATTTCGATTAATTCTATCATTCTCGAATCTAATGTTTGGTCGTGAGGTTTGAACTCGATGTTGATTCTCATCAAAACTGCCAAGAAAATGTCGGAAATAGCTTATTGCTCTTGAAATCGCCTCTCTTTCTTTTTCTGGTGACACGAAAAAACCTAGCAGAGGCAGATGAAACAGAGGTGTACTGACTTACATGCCCAACATCAAGTTTTTTCGGGGAATTTTACTGACGTGGATCAATGTACATGTTTTCAATGTTCATGTTGTACATGTTTTTTTTTTGTCAAATTGTGGCTGCTCTCATCCGTTTTTCTAGGGGGGGAATTTTGAACGAAGTTGATGAAAAAAAGCTGATATATCGACGTCATTTTTTTTATGAGTCCATTACGCATTAGAGACTCTCTAAAATCTTACAAAAAAATCAGTTGACGAAGTGCACGACCGAGAGTTTCAGTTTTTAGTAAGCCTGTCTGTAACTACAGTGATTTAAGAGGGTCTGTGCTTATTTATCGAGGATAAAACAGCAAAAAATTAAGCCCCGGTTGGCGATGGTACAAGACTCTTATCATACTTTATCGTTCAGATGGAAAAGCATCCACAACGTCAACTCTCGAAAACTTGTCTGACTTTCCCTCCACATGTAGAGAAGAGTAGGACATATTTCTCCCAAACAGAATTATGTGCATTAAGATATGAGCCCTGCGACCCATAAGAGTATGTCCATAACAGGGCTCACGTCATAATGCACATGGTTCCGTTTGGCAGAAGTACGTCCAATAGGTTCTGTGAACATAGTTTCAAACAGTGATGTTGGTTCTTTCTACTATTTTGAAATAAACGGAGATCAAAGATTTTGCAACACCGCAAATGAGATACGCGTTTGTGCAGTTTCACCATTGAAATTTTCCAAAAAAAAAATTCCAGGGATTAGGAGATGAGCTCCACTCCCTTTTCCCAGGAACTTTAATTAAACCGCTATTCAGTCGTATTACGTGTTTTCTGACATTATGTTAGGTCGAATGGCATGTGGATGACATGTTGAAGATATGTGGCATGTGCACATTTTTGTAAAATAAGTTCTAAAAATACTTTTTTTACGCATTAGCGAATGAGCACCATTTTTTTCTCCGTACAATTTTTTTCATTTCGTGTCAGTCAATTTTTAGATCTGCGCCTTGCTCTGATGGAATGTGTATTTGAATGCTTCTCGATATGACGTTGGGGACTTAAATGAGCAGGAGCGTATTTTTGTGAAAATGTCCTAAAAATACTTTTGTTAGGCATTTCACCTTTAGATCAAAGTATCATAAACGTCATTGTTGACAAATTGCATTATAGAATGGCTTCATGGGCAGTGGAAAGGCGTGAATGGTCGATCATCGACATTTCACCGTTTGAAGCTGTGGTAAAGACTCGATTATTTAGGTGTTCGTTGAGGACACCCTGTATATTGATCCTTTTCCATGGTTTTAAATGGCATATCAATCGGTATATCGCAAAGTACGCCACGCCACTGTTTTGGGGTTCTGCACATTTGAGATTTAAAAATAACAAATTAGCTGTCATTTAAAAAAAACAGCTCCGAGCTTTAATGGAGTGGGTCTTTACTTTCAAAGGCCTTTGTTTAGACATATACAGGTATATCCGGCCCTGTTCAGAGTCCCTTTATACTGAGAGCTAAGACAGCACCCCCTCATGGAGTCACAAACGGGAATAAAAGTTACACAAATTGAACGTTTTTTGTAATGTTTGATCGGCTCATTCTCAAATTCCTTTCTCCGTTCAGTCTCTCATTCCGTTTGTTCCTTATTGTCGAACCCGTAATTCCTCGGTCCATTCCAGATTATAATCTTTGCGATTGGTGAAACTGTAATCTTTATTCCCGTTTATGACACTGTGGAGGCCTAAAATACGGTAAGCAATCAGAAATGGATTCACATTGTCTTAACTCTCAGAATAAAGGGACTCTAGCCCTGTCAAGGTCGACTTCCAAGAAAGGAATCAACATTCAGAGTAAGGAGAAAGTCATTAAGAGTATTGTTTGGCGGGAAATTCTTCTTTGAAACATCGTTTTGTTATTCAATTAATATGATTTGCTCATTAACCGCCAACAGGCGATTTCGATGATTTCTCTAGCCGCGGCCTTTT